GGAAACTTTCAATACATGAGCAGCATAATATATATATGTGCCAATATGGGGATAAAAAGCTAATACCTGACACGAAATCCTCCATAAACTGAACTTCAAATGACATATCCAATGCACTAACCAAACGCTGCAACTGGGAGGCAAATCCAATTCGATCTCCTTTTGAACTATCACTTCATACAAAAATCAATATATTCAGATATATCATAGGGAAGATATAAAGAAATTAACAAATCAAAAAGACCATAGGGGAAAAAAGATGATGAATTTGCATAAGGATTGATCTTAATTTCAGGATAAACTAGAATCCATGCACAAACTGCTTACAGATTTGGAGACAGATTTGGAGTTAGAGTCCATTTCTCGGCTTCATGAGGAGAAGAATTTTCCATTTCAGCCATTTCCAAAGAGCTTTCAACCACCTTCTCTGACCAAATGGTCACCAAATCAAATCCTACATGCATAGTATCTATTAAACCAGTGCCTGTCGGCTATGCATAAAGAAAAAGGCAGTCCCTCAGAACTTGATAAAGAAAAATGAGCATCACAAAAATAAGCTTACCCTTTACTGGATCTTCTGCAGAATACCATTCACTCCAAGGGCAATCATCATCCCAGTGCTTCCTACTGCGATTACCACTGCCTGGCATTGTTTCAGATTCTGCATTTTCAGCATCCGCTTCTTGGATACCATCATCTCCGTCGTCATTGGGAAGGGTGCGATAGGTGAGTTTCATTATAAGATGTACTTTGAAGAGATGCACTGGATGGTCCAATGTGGAGTGAGTCTTCAAAAACAAATAACCAATTAGTGTTACCACATAAAGATAAGAGCATAACATCGTTGTGGATGCATAACATTAAAAACTGATTTAAAAACTCTTGCACAGACAAGGGGAAAAAGATAACTAAACTCCAGCTTTACCGATGCTAGTTAGAAAACCTAATGATATCTCACTTCCATAGTAATGATATTTGACCCATGTTAAACATTAAAAAGAAAAAAAACACGATAGTTTGTCGGCTGGAATAACGTTGGGCTTTTAATAGATAGCAAGGAGACTTACAAACTTAGAAACAAACAACTCATACAATCCTTCCAGATGCATGAACTTGATGGGCACCTGGCTACCAATACGATCTGCCTCAAACCTTCTAGTAAAAACAGTTCCCATGTTTTGGATTCCAATAAACGCTTTTCTTGAAGGTTCATGGACTGGCACAAATGCAGGCCAGAAACTGCAACACCAAAATATAAGTTTCAGATTCTAAGTTATTAGAAATTATTTCATGCAGCAGAAATAGCTAGGTTACAAATATTGACTAATAAGACCACATAATTATAACATGCAAAAACTATTCTCTTTAAAATATTTATGGGGAAAAGGTAGTGAAGAATCTATTAACAATTACTAACATCACATGTTGCACTGTTGAAAAGCAGATCAAAGAAAATTATATGCATAGTACTTCAGAAAAATTCAATGGTAGTATATTTCTGTCAGAAACCCACCTTGAACAATTTGACAGAGCAATTGCAACTGCACTTAAAAGCTTGCTAGCCTCTGGCGCATCAAGTATCACACCACTGGCACTTTGAGGTGAAATCACCTGTTTATTGCATGCATTAGGTGCAAAGGAAATGAAAGCATCATATCATTCTACAAACAGCAGTTGAATATTATCAAAAAGACTATTGAAAGGAAAAGGAAGGGACAGCACGAGATGCTAAGCAGACCAAGAATTCTTTTACTCCAAAGCAAAGCTGCAAATCATGCAAAGTGCAATCCCAGTCAGCAAGGTTGCCTGTGCCAATAAAAAACATAAGTCAAGAAACATAAGTTCAAACCATGAGAGCTAAATGATTAGAGCATAAAAGTCATTTTCCCCTCCCAAAAGTACCTTTATTGTTGATTTCAAAATAGTACTCCATGGAATAGATTTTTGCACCATCTTTCAACTCAGATTTAACCTTATATATTTTATTAGAAGAATCCAAACGAGCTACTCCCTTTTCCTGCAAAGGACAGTAAATTTGCTTTCATTACTAGTGATCGTGGACTAGGAGGTAGAATCTTAACTTGCATTCCTTTTCTGATATATAAAAACTATATAGAATAAATTAAAACATTTTGAATAACAGGAGTTAACTAAAACCAGAGCAAGCTTACTAGTAAATTATTTGGACCATCAGCAAACCACTGTCGGCAAGTAGCCTCTATTTCAGATATGAACCTAAAAAATGGATAAAATCGGTTATGCCATATCTAAAAAGTGAAAGAAACAGGAAGATTAATAAATGTGTAAAATATAGAATTGAAATTGTTAAGTTATTAAACACCTTTCCCATGAAGAAGCCAGTGTGAAATCATCGAAGTGTTGAACCTGCAGCAAGATCTAGTAAGCTTCTTTTTTCCAACAAAAATAAAATCAAAAGAAATTCAAATTGCTTTCGAATTTAGCTAATGTAAACTTGGAAATCTAAAACAAAAAAACAAAAGTTAAGATGTGAATGGCAAACTTCATCCTCCTTCTCTTCATCTTCATCAGTTAAATTGGCTTTGCTTGAAGATGCCATGAAAGAATCACGAATTTTCGAGCTGGTAACTCCGCTTCAGATTTTGCTTCCAAAATCAATCGTTCAGGATAAAAAGAAGTTTAATCGAAGTTTCAATCAAAAGAAAGCTTAGAAATCTCAATTTGTAAGATTTAAAATAAAAGGCGAGGGTGAAGAGGAAAGATCTTTTCTTATGGAAAAAGCAATTAACCATCGAATATCGAGATGCTAAAGTTTTGCTAAATTATCTTCCCCTGAAATATTGGTAATGACAAAAGCTTCCTGTTGTTAGCTAAAATTATAAATTTGTCTCACACCATTGCCATATTCTAAGGATTGCCCTTGTTGAAGGGCTCGAATTGAATAAAAAAATTTGAGTTATTCAAATTAACGAGTGTATAAATTGAATTTGATTTGAAATTTTTTAAGTTGAATCGAGTGAAATTTTTGAGTTTATATTTAAATTTAATTATAAATATTTATAATATTATGATATTATTTTATTTTAATTTAAATTATGTTTATAACTATATACAATACATCTATATTTTTTCATAATTTTTTATATGTAATATATATATATATCTTATAAGAGTCATGAGAATCGACTCAAACTTGAAAATTAATCTAGTAATTATTAAAAAAATTGAGTTATTTGAGTTAATATTCGAGTTATTCGAATTATATTTTACAACTCAATTTGAACTTAAAACTTTTTTTAGTCGAGTTAAGTTTATGAAATTACAAATCGAAGTCAATTCAAGTCGGTTTTTCTAAGTGGAGTTGAGTCGCAAAAATCAATTTTTAAGTCGAGTCGAATTTTGCTTACCCCTACCTATTTTTAAAAATAATCTCTATTGGGTTAAAAATGCAAATGAATGGTTAACTAAGGGTCTGTTTGTTTCCCGTAATTGGAAATACGGAATTGGTTTTCCCCGAATTCTCGTGTTTGTTTCACGTAATTCGTTTTCCGGAAAATGTTTTCCCGTGTTTGTTTCACGTAATTCGTTTTCCGGAAAACGTTTTCCCGTGTTTGTTTCACGTAATTCGTTTTCCGGAATGTAATTCATTTTCCTAGTAACAGAATTTCCTTTGTGTTTTCTGTAAAATGACTTACGGATTCATTTTCCGTAAGTCATTTTTCGAACTTTTCACTTCAAAGCAAAAATACTCAAAATAATTTTATTTTATGAATTTAATATTAATAAAATATTTTAATATCATTTTCGTCAAAATATTAATTATTAAAATATTTAAAATATATTATTAATATTTATAATAATATAATATATTTTTAATATTATATAAAATAATCAATTATATTATAATATAAGATATTATATTTTTATTTTAATAATATAATAATTTTTTTATATATTTAATAATGAATAATATTATTTATATATTTCAATAATATTTTAGTAAAGATATTAAAATATACTAATTAATATTTTTAAAATATAATATAGTACTATTACTTTAATAAATAATTAATATAATTTATAAAATTTTATTTCACTAAAATATACCGAAAAAATGTTTAAATAACATCTTCCAAACATCATAAAACGTTTTCCAGATGTTTTCCAGAAATGTAATTCATTTTCCAGAAATGTAATTCATTTTACAGAAATGTAATTCATTTTCCAGAATTCAAATTCCAGTAATTCATTTTCCAGTAATTCAAATTCCAGTAATTCAAATTCCAGTAATTCATTTTCTGGAAAACCAATTACAACTAAACAAACAGACCCTAATAGTCACAACCAACATCACTATTTCACTAGCATTGGAGTATGCATAGATCATTTACAAAACCGCTACTTCCCTAGAATCAAGTGGCTAAAAATATAAGCTCAGTTTAATTATGGAGGATGCAACGAGATAATATTAATTTAAAATATAATTGTAGTTTAATAAAAATAAATTAAAATGTCGATTCTAATACTATTTATTTCATTTTTGTTTTGTTTTGTTCATAACTATTTATTTCATACGACTCATTTAGGAGCTGAAAATATATATTATATAGATATATTGTTCTTTAAACTTTAATATTTTGTTTCAGTAGAATGGCAAGGAAGAGAACATATTTTTAAGGTAGAATTGCTTAAGACTTAAGAATGGAAAGAAACAGTGGGCTTCGTTGGGCCATTAGCCTAACCCAACATACAATTTCTTTCTCTACTCGGCCTACGTTATCCAATGCTCCACGGTCATGCCGGATGATAATGCTAATTTGATTAACGGTTGTGATTGCAGAAGGTAGAATTCCATACACTTGTTCCCTCCACGTGGAATCACCCAAGTCGAGAGCATGCACTGGATTCTAAGAGAGGAGTCGACTCCAAACCGAAGCTATGTCTCATGTAGAATCCATTCCCAACATGTAAGCTTTCTCTCTTTTTCTGTCAAATTTAACCACTGATCTCTCCTTTTGTTTCTTGTGTTTTTTAAATGATATAGCGGAATTTATTTAGTCTGTGATTAACGTGATTTCGACCCTGTGGATTGAACCAAAAATCAATTTTCTGAGCCTAAAATTCTTGATCGATTACTATAATCAAGTAATTATTTAGTAAATCTCACTAGTTGATGTTCGAATGCTTTCGAATCCAATCTGCATTTACCCATCTTAAGTAGTTTAAGCTTGTGATGAGCAATTGCAGATTAAATTTGATGGAATTGTCAATTTATGATCAAAATAACTGCTGATGGTTATTTATTAAGTTTGATTATCGTTGTTGCCAGTTTAAGGATTACGAGTTTATTTCCATTTTTCATTTGTGTTTATGTTAGTTTATTGTTTGCAGTAGCATTTGATTTATTTCATTTGGATTTTTTTTTATTTGATGATATTAATCGCTTATTTTTTTTTTCCTCACTAATTCATGTATATCAGCTTGCCGTATGATTGGTAGGTTCTTCCTGCTCTAATTGAAGCTCCAATTGGGGGCTAAGTCTATCTGCTTTGAAGTCATGTTTGTACCAAATGAAGATAATACTCAGGTAACCCTGTTCACTCAGTTGACTCTTTTCCTCTTTGAAATGAAAAACTGAAGAACAATTCTTAAGTTGTCGGTAATTCAAGATTTTATGTACATGAGATGAACAAGATTAAGGGTCTGTATATGTTTTTCCCCTGAGTTCATTTAGAAGATCGAGGGGTGCTTTAGTGATGATTCGATTAGAACAAATTCTCTTGTTTGGATGGATTGTCTTTGCAGCTTTCATCTCACTTTTTTGGGGATCTCTTGGATTCCGTAATTGTTGATGTTGCATCTGAGAGTCATCGGCTAGCAAAGTTGGGCCTTGATCGTAATTTGGAGGAAGAGGAAGAAGAAATGAGTTTATCAGCACAAGCCCGAGCAAGGGTGTCTGACCCTAGTAACAATGGTGAAACAAATGGCAAGCATGTGGTGGATATATTTGGACAAACATACCCTTCTGTTGCCAGTAAAATATTTGAATGCATGAACTGTGGGAGATCTATTGCTGCAGGGAGGTTTGCTCCTCACTTGGAGACATGCATGGGAACGGTGATTCTGTCCCTAATCATCCTATCATATACATTTGTCTTATTTAAATTCAGTATAATGTTCTTTTTGCATCCATGAGGATAGACTGTAATTGTGATTGAGTTACTGCTGTTATAATTGATTCTGTCGAACAGCGTACCTTACCAAGGATAAAAATCTTTGTATTTTCTTGGTGCAGGGTAGAAAGGCTCGTCTCAAGGTTACAAGGAGTACCACATCTGCACAAAACCGTTATTCACGAGGCAGCCCTGTTTTGACGTATTCTCTGAGCACAAATCGTTTATCGAATGGAACACCTGGTGTTGCAGGCGAGTACTCCAATGACACTTACAAGGAACCATGAAAAAAACCTAGAGCAAATGCCGTTAACATGTCATAGACTTGATGTGTAATGCACCTAGTTAAACTGAACTCCAAGTTGTTTCGCCATCAGTGAATTACAGTCACAGGTAATGATCGAGTTTCGATGCGATTTTACAGTTTTAAAGCAAATGCAATTACCCACATAAATTTGTCATAGTTAAATTGAGCTTCAGCATTTGAAGTAGCTAAGGATGAAATGGGATAACTAAGTGCCTACCAGTACCAAATCATCAACACGCAATTGCGGTCAAAAACAACACTAGAGTGTTTTCTGTTAACTTAATTGATTCTTGTATCGAACTACACATGCTAACAAATTCAGCTGCATTTTCAAGCTTCAACGACTTCTAGTAGCGATATAAGCTTCATCATCGTCTCTTTCAGCTTAATCCAATTTTACTGCAATAGATTCGACAAATTGTTTATTTGTCTTGCATTATATATAAACCCTTAGGAGTTAATTATTTTTTTCATTTTGATAAGTTTTCAATTTTTCAAATCTAGTTTAATCCAAAAAAAATATATATGTAAAATAATTCCTTTTGTAATCGGGCGTTTTTCCCAAAAAAATCATTTTTTTAATTTAATAATCCCGATCAGGCACCGGTCAGATTATATTTCTCGATCTAACATCATTTGCAGTAAGGCGCGCCCCCTGCGACTCGCTTTATGTTGACATGGATACACGTGTGAACGGGCAAGGGTAGGTTGGTAATTAAGGGTATGGAGCGGCGTAAGGGCCGCGCCTTACCTGTGATTCTGACACGCGTCAGAAAGGCGCAGGCCCTGCCCCGCGTTATACCCTTAATTACCAAATTATCCTCGTCCGTTCACACTTCACACCCATCCCTCCCTATAAATACCCCAATTCTCAATCACTTTCATCACACCAAATCTTCTCAATTTCTCTCAAATACTCTTATATTCTATTATTAAAGTATATTTTATTATATTTAATATTTTTTTAGTAATTTATTTAATTATTTTAATTGCTTAATATTTTATTTAATTAATTTTTTTGCAGATATAAAATAGAAGGCGGTCTACTTTGGTTGGATAGAAATCATATATCACAATACTTTGTTGATTCGGTAATATTTTAACGTTTTAATTTAATTTATTTATTTATTTAATGCATGATTATTAGTTTAAAAATTAATTTGTGTAATTATTTTTGTTAGGAGAGATATCGTATATTAGATCCTTTTATTAGGAACTTTAAGTTAGTTATACATACTCGTATAATGTTGTATTTAGTATAGGTTGGATTCAGTCACCTAGGTAGATATCAGAGTCACTGTAAGATAGAACCAGACCTTATTTCTGCCTTAGTAGAGCGGTGGAGGCCGGAGACCCACACATTTCATCTTCTGTGCGGAGAATGCACGATCACGCTTGAGGATGTTTTTATGCACCTGGGGCTTCCGATGGATGGAGGTGTGATATCAGGGATAGCTTCCGGTTCTTGGACTACTTTGTGTCGGGTTAGTCTAGGACGTGTCCCGGAAAATTTTAACGGTGGACGGTTACCGTTAAATTGGTTATATGCCAATTTTTGGGAGTTGAGCAAGGACGCGTCTAACGATGAAGTTAAACAGTATGCACGAGCATGCATACAGCAGCTTATAGGAGGGTTGCTGATGCCAGACAAATCGCGCAACCAAGTTCACTGTATGTGGTTGCAACATCTTGGCGACTTTCATCTGGTCGGATCACTCAGTTGGGGCTCGGCAGTTTTGGCTTGCCTGTACAGGGAGATGTGTCGAGCTATTGACTACAGGCGTAATGCTATCGGCGGATGTCTCCTGCTGCTGCAGTCTTGGGCATGGTATCGATTGCCCTTTTTATGTATCGTTGTCAAAAATCCATTTGTATTTACGCTACTCCTGAGGTAATTATAAAACTGATTTTGTATATGAATACTTTTATATAGTGAATAAGAAATTATTTTTCTTGAATAGGTGGTCTACTGATAGGAAAAATAATCAGGAGCTACCTGATGATTTAGAAAAAATTAGGGTGTTAATCAATCAGAAGGTTGGCACACAGGTATGGATTTTAATATTTAAAAATTGATTTTAGATTATAGTTATATAATTAGATTAATATTTTGATAAAAAATATATATATTTGTTTTAGTTTGAATGGGTGTCATATTCTACTGATGATGTGAGGTTGGTGATCCCACCTGAGTTGAGGGGCCCATCAGATGTTTGGATGGCAATGGTCATCTTGATCTGTTATGCGACCGTCGAGTGGCACTCCACTAATCGCGTGCTCCGGCAATTTGGTTGTTTTCAACCAATTTGGTTGTTTTCAACCAATTCCGGAAGCACCTCGCAATATGGATGAGTTGCATAGCACAGATAAACTCGGCAAGACATATACAGATTGGCTGGCGAGACATCGTGGGTCGTGTTGTGGGAGGATCGACATCGGCGTCTTCCCCATAGAAAGTTCATTTTACTTGACCTCTTGATGGTTGCTGACGGTTATTATGAGTGGTTCGACAATAACGGCAAACATTTTCTACTTCCCAAGGATGTACGAGGACAGACCTTTCTGCGACGTCGACAGAGACGTTCACCGACACAGCACCATCGTCCCCCAACTCGTGGACGGAGAGCATTTACCATTTAATACTTATTGTAAGTTTGTTGTATTTAAAATTATTTTGAAATACCAAATTGTTCGATAACTTTCTTAAGTTTGCCACTTATTATCTCTTTTATTATAATCACATATAACGCAAACGTCAAATCTCGTATTATTGTATCATTTTTTTAATCTTCATCAGCGATTATCGAATGACATTAACTTGAAGTAAATTTAAATCAAAGTACAAGAATTATTATTTGATAAACAAATACATCATTTCCTCATCAATTGTTACTTGGTGACAACAGAAGTGGACATGTTTTTCTAGTGTATCATGGGTTTCTACAATGCCCACATCTTATGTCTTGTCTAGATCTTTCTCGAATATCCATATCGCAATTAATTCGAGTGGATTTTGGACGACCACGCTCCCTCAATAAACTCGGATTTGGTACAATCGGAAGCCAATCTTGAACCTCATCAGGGTCTTTATCATTACCTATGGGGGAAACTCAAATTCGTATACCTTAAAAATTTTAGATAGTAGGTATACGAGATCCACAAAATGGTTATAATCTTGACGTGTATGCGAGCAAGCTGCTATCACATGAGAGAATGGATACTTACGAGCTTGAAAAAACCCACAGTCGCACGTTCTGTCCCTTAGATTTACTCTTAACGACACAACTCCAATCTCTTGAAGAGGTCGCGGCAACTCTGTGACACGAAACATTTCATGCCTTCTAGAGAAGCTTGTTACAGACATTCCATTTGATGCAGAAATTTTTTTCTGTAGATCTGCAACTAATATAGGGTGATAGACATGACCGCCTTGCATCCATGTTTGAGCTTGTCCCCCGAGCTTCGCAAAAAACGCCCCCAAATGAAAATATATAATATTTACCAAAGCCGCTACTGGTAAGTGACTTGCACCCTTTAAAGTTGAATTGATTGTCTCTGCCAAGTTGGTCGTCATGTGTCCATATCGATATCCACCATCATATGCGTTCGTCCACATTTCTTTATCGATGAGGCTGATGTAATCGTATCATTCCTCGTTCTTCGCCCGCAAATCTTGAAGCATTGATTCAAACGTTCGAGGAAGTAGTTTGTAACCTGATCAAAAAATGTATAACTTACTAACTTGCTTTCTTTGTAAAATTAAAAAGATCGAAAGAAAATAAACTACATCAGTTTCACTTACCCATGCGCACAATTAATTGACACTCATCATTCTTCTTGTACCTTCCATGGTAGTTCATAGCAATGTGTCGGAGACAATACTTATGTTGGACAAAGGGTAGTTGCCACATTGGACCCAAAGACTCCATTGCTGCTTTGATCCCAGCTCCGAGATCTGAAATGACACAAATGTTTTCTCTCGTGATAACATGTGCACGCAAATTTCGGAGGAAAAAAGCCCAAGAATCTGTATCTTCTCATTCGACAAGAGTAAAAGCAACTGGAAGAATGTTGTAATTGTCATCTTGGACAACTGCCAATAATAAAACTTGCTTGTATTTTCCATACAAGAAAGTATCGTCGATCTGGACCACAGGCTTGCAGTATTTGACAGCATTAACGCACTGTGGGTAAGTCCAAAAAACCAGGTAGAATTGGCATCGATCGCGAAGAACTCGATCATTATGATATGTATAGGTGATTTCGAAGTCCACAATTGTCCCAAGATTCAACCTCCGCACCAGCCTAAACCAGCCTAGAAGTTCGTTGTAAGATGTATCTCATTTGCCATGAAGTTTGACAATGACATTTTGTTTTGCCAACCAAGCTTTTTTATAGGAGACAGTGTACCCATACTGCGATTGTATAGTTGAAATCAACACAGCAACAGCTATATGAGAGCTTGCTTTTACCATAGGCATGATGGCTTGACATATCACTTCAGAGTCCAAGTTGGGATGATCTTGGTTGACCTCTCCAGCACAACATGTGTGAGGACCGTTGTATACTGTTAGTTCTCATCTGTTGTTTTTCCTCTTCCTCTTCGATACACGAACCATCCAACTACATCCATTTTCGCGTCGGGCACAGTAGCATACATATTTTTCGATCGTGGAACTGCCGATTCTGTATTGAACAGAATTGCGGATATTGTAATTTTTTATAGCCATCATCGCTTTTTCCTTGCTTGAAAACTCCAGCCTAAAGATAACTCACCATTATTTATTGATGAGTAATATCTATAGTCACCGAGATGAGGCATATCCGTAAATTCTGGCTCGTACATTGCATCATAATCAGCTTCATATATGTGTGTTGGAGGGTCAGTTTATGCCACATTTGCTGGAACTTCATCTACATCATCATCACCATCGGAGTTGAATTGTGGTGATTCTGGGTGAATGAATAGTTCAGTCTTAGCACCATCCACACCAGGCTAACGAAGCGGTTCTTCTGGTGGAGATGATGGTTCCTCCATGCTCTCCACATTTAGGTCGAAGAACCTACTACTGGAACGCCTTCTCCTTGAACTAGAAGGCATATCTGGACTGAGATCGAAAAATCTCGCAGTCGAATGCCTCCCCTTGGAGCTTGAAGCCATCGTTTCAAATAGAATCTGCACAGATTGTTGTGTCGATGGCATCTCCATATTAAGGTCAAAGAAATTTGCAGATGAATGACTTCCCCTTGAACTGGATGCGATGTTGCCATACGGATTGTTTGTGGACCCACCTCGGTACATATCGTAAGGAGTTGCGGATGAATGTC